ATAAAGAAGTGAAAGAGTGAATGAATAAAGTGTAAGAAAATGACTTGTAGGTAAAAATACAAAGAGATATTAATATGCAAGAAATTCATATTAAAATTTCTTTCTTGAACAACTCTGACAAGAGTTTGGCAGCTTCGGTTGATTAAATAACATTGAGAACATTCTGCTAGGAGAGGATGGTAAAGTGTGAGTTGTGGCCAGAGACCAAGTTAAATCAGCTATAATGTCAGGACTAAAATCAGTGTGGACAAATAATAAAGCTGAATTGATTCACTGACTGCAGAGAGAGCAAAGGTCAACAGGTGAGCAGAGCAGGATGCTACTTTTTTGTGTATTTTATTTCATGGATTAAACATCCTGGGAATTTTACTCTACTCACCATCTATAGGATAATATCAACACTGAACAAATATATCATAAGAGAAGACCATTATAACCATTGTGTCAATCTCTTAAATCTCCCTCCCCAAAGGAAACTAATAAAGAAAAGCATAATACTGTGTTAATAACATATTTTTAAGAAGGCTTGGCCCAAATTCCTGACCCAATATCAATATCTTACCTCGTGTTATCAACTCTAATTCATGCAATGTCTTTTCACTTTCATATTTAGTTCTTTCAAAATCCTAAGTCATGTGAAATTTTTCACCAATCTGTCTCAAAGCTGTATACTAAAATTATTCTAGTTCCTTTAAAATATTAAGTCCCTGAGTCCAAAACACAAGCACCTAAGAAAACGAGTTAATACTATTGACATGGACTAGCAAAAGTGATTTTGGAGTCAGAGGAAATGCACACAAAAGAAGCAGTTCCCTTCTCTGTCCAGGGAAAAGTTCTTTTCAACTAGTTTCATGCTCCCATGACAACTGGATTAGCTCAGCTAGTCAAAGAACTGCAGGAAAAACTTGAAGAAGTAAATTCAGGTATCTTGAACCTTAAGTATTTAGCAAATAGCAATAGACAAAGCGGTCAGGGCTAATGTGGACTAATCAAGACCAAATTCAAAATAATTGAATACATTTTTAAATCCAGGATTCTCTTTACTTTTTCTCTTCCTTTTATTTGTTTATATAGTTTTTTTGAAGTTTTTTTCCGGTATCATTCAAGAGTGAATGTAGAATCAACATTTTCTAGAGATACAGTTTTTTGAGAATTCCCCCAAACACAAGCTATGGTGGAAGCACAAAACAATTACACTGAGTGAAAAGTGTAAGAAGTATAAGATTTCTTTACTTAATGCTTCAAATCTATGGAAACTTTATGAAATATTTAATATTCCCCTGCAACTAATTTCTTAAAATTCTTGTTCCTGACAAACCAAGAAACTGAGTAAAACATGAGATAAGTTTTAGTACTTTCATCTGCTGCTGGACAAAAGGCTTTTCCTTTATTAATAATTTCTAATAATGTATTTTATTGATAAAATACCTTATAATTTACTAAAAGCCTTCACACACACACATCCACATACTTTACACTTCCTATGAACCTATGAGGAAAATATTTGATATA